TAAATATTGATAATCAGCAAATCAGCATATTAGAATGATTGCTGAAGGATCATGTGACACTGAAGACTGGAGTAGGCCTAATGATGCTGAAAATTTAGCTTTGATCACAGGAATAAATTACATTTTAAAATATATTCCAATAGAACGCAGTTATTTTAAATAGTAAAAATATTTCAAAAGGTTACTGCTTTTGGTGCATTTTGGATCAAATAAATGCAGTCTTGGTGAGCAAAAGATAATTCTTTAAGAAACATTAAAAATCTTGCAGTTCAAAAACCTTTGACTGGTAGTGTAGGCTGATTATTCTTATAGATTGAACCGTGCATTAACCAGGATAACGAGTATGAAACATGCTCCGAGTTGCTTCAGAAAACAAAAAAATAGAGCAACAACAAAAGCATGTTGCTGGAAATGGGTTTATTATTGAAAATGCAAACTGATTGTCTGCCAGCAGGAAGCGCTGTGAGAGCGGTGGAACTAACGGTTTCTCCAGTAATGGCTGTAAACAAACCAGCTCCGCTCATAAGCGGTATTTTATCAGATAAAAATGCCATCGAAACTTTTCTGAAGACAGTCGGTTCCCTTCAGAGATACATTCATATAAAACACCCGCGACGCGTTTTGATTTTGAAACGTGCAGTGCTCATGTTTATTCAACCAAGTCAAACGCCACAAATAAATCAATGTATGGGAAACACGGTAATGTATATCGAAATATCGGAAATGTGTTTAAAAATCATATCACCGTTATTGAAAAAAATTATATCGCAATACATATTGATATTGAATTATTGTCCAGCCCTAACCCCTACCCTAGTGTCGTGCATAGGTTGTGTTAGACTTGAACATTGTCTGTCATTTTGATGGAAAGGGTCGTAAAAATTCCATCATAATCTATTATTACCCGCCACTGATTGGCAGCTGCCTTTAGCAGAGCCTTTACTGATTACCTCCATTGATCAAAGCATTCGGCACGGTCGTCTGTGAGTGACGTCACCTCCCAATACAAACATACCCCATAATATAGTCCCGCCCCCTCACATTGATTGACAGCTTTCCATGTAGACATCTGAAATTCAAATGTAAAAGGAATTGCGATTCCATTTGAGTTTTGGCAGGTTACGTGCACGACCCAGAGAGAGTGAATGTGGTAATTAATATTGCTATTTAAATATGACAGTCTCATAACTCGTAAGACATGAAAAATACAGTTGCAAATGGACTTTGCTTTTTCATTTGAAATGAGGCAGTCACTGTGCGAAAATGCAAACGGTAATGCAAGATTTGTAATTGCATTTGGATTATGTCACGATTTATAAGTCCACATGTGGAAAACGCAATCGAAAATACAATTTGCAATTGCTTTTGAAAATTGCCCTGAATATTCTTCCATACAGGCAGGTGCTGGTCATTCAAAAGCTAAATGCAGAAAATATGACAAGGAATATCTTGCTCTCAGCTTCACTCACCGTATCTACACCGGACGCTAACTGTTGTTGCGTTGCGCCGTGCCGCAAGTCTACACTGGACGTCACCTCCCAATACAAACATACCCCATAATATAGTCCCGCCCCCTCACATTGATTGACAGCTTTCCATGTAGACATCTGAAATTCAAATGTAAAAGGAATTGCGATTCCATTTGAGTTTTGGCAGGTTACGTGCACGACCCAGAGAGAGTGAATGTGGTAATTAATATTGCTATTTAAATATGACAGTCTCATAACTCGTAAGACATGAAAAATACAGTTGCAAATGGACTTTGCTTTTTCATTTGAAATGAGGCAGTCACTGTGCGAAAATGCAAACGGTAATGCAAGATTTGTAATTGCATTTGGATTATGTCACGATTTATAAGTCCACATGTGGAAAACGCAATCGAAAATACAATTTGCAATTGCTTTTGAAAATTGCCCTGAATATTCTTCCATACAGGCAGGTGCTGGTCATTCAAAAGCTAAATGCAGAAAATATGACAAGGAATATCTTGCTCTCAGCTTCACTCACCGTATCTACACCGGACGCTAACTGTTGTTGCGTTGCGCCGTGCCGCAAGTCTACACTGGATGCAACAAATCGACCGTTACAGATCATTTGAACTTTGTGTCAATACGTCTGTGACGAGAAGGGCGGGGCCGAGAGCCGTGGGAACGGAGCGAGGCCGGTGGAGTAATTGCGAATGCGCGACACCTGCGCCACTCACCGGTCTCGAGTCCCACGGAGGAGCTCCGGAAGGATACAAAGGAGGAGTGACGACAGGGAAAGACGAGAGAGGACCAGGCCTGGAGTTTATTTTGTGTTTTGGTTTTGTTTGTGCGCGGCAGTCGTCCGCGAGGGGCTGTCGCGCTATTTTGAGTTTATTTTATTATTAAAGTTTCTTTGAGTGTTCGCCGGTTCCTGCCTCCTTCTTCCCGACTTATGAACTTTGTTACAACGTCATAAATAGAACAAGGCATCAGTTTAATGTTGGGGATTTGTCGTGCCGCGCTGCAACCAGTGTAAACGGAGTCACTGATTATAATGGGTTCTACTCACTGATCTATATATTCTCTATTATAGATCAGTGGTTCTACTGTATTTTGCCGCTCGCGTCCAGTGTAGTTACGGTGTTAATTTCGTTGGTGAGGAGGAAAGGCCTGTGTGTGTCCTATGCCTTAGCGGACAGCATGAAACCCACACAAAAAACCAAATAACTAAATATGAAAAAACTACTGAGAGAATAAGAATAATAACAGTTATTCTCTGTATGCTATTTTTCAATGTTTCAAGTGTTGCAGGTGTTTTTTCCACTTTAGATTTTTTTTTTTATTAAAAAAGCATTCATTTTTCATAATGTTTATTGAAATTATTTGGTAGTCTGATGTGCGATGGGAAGGGGTGGGGGGGCACCAGATTTTTTTTATAGGTTTAAAGGGAGGCGCGACCAAAAAAGTTTGAGAACCACTGTGTTAACACGACCTGTGGTGTCATGGTAAATGTGTGAGATGAGGAAAGATTGAGGGAGGAAGAGGCAGGCTTCATGTCCGTAAGAGGGAAAAGCGAGCAAAGTTCCATGTTTAACATGCAGTGGAAAAGTGGAATGTGCTGACATGGCACTTCGTCTGAACTCCAGAATTAATAATCAGACGTGGTTTAGCCTTGCACTGCCAGGAGGCGAAGTCAGCCAAGCTCTGGCCTCTTTGTGGTGGGCCTGAAAAGGAGGGTCTGGCACACGGCCAGTGGGGTTTTGCTTGTTCAGGATTTTTGATTAAATCGTTTATTGTGCTCCACTCACGCAAAGGGCCAAGGCAGCTTTTACTCCAGAAGGGGTGGAATAAGACAGGAGGAAACGTTGTTGTTTTTTTTCACCAGTAAAAATCTTTTGTATGATAAAGACATTTTTTTTTTTTTTTTTTTTTTTTTTTTTTTTTTTTTTTTTTTTTTTTTTTTTTTTGTGTAGCTTCATCTATTTAGTTTTTTTAATTCTGTTTCATTATCTTTTACTGTGTGATTTTGTAATGCCTTCTAACGTCTGCTTAGTTATTTTGGTTAGTTTTTGAGTTGAATTGTTTTGTGTGAATGCAAGAGGTCTTCAAGGGGTTTTAACCAATAAAACAAGGAAGGAAGCAAAATATAAAAACTGTCACAAAAAACCATATGCAATTATACATCCCGAAGCCATCACTGTCCTAAGACAGAAGAGAAGTGGGAGACGTGGCCTGCGTTGAGTTCAGTGCTGGCTCTGAGGTGCAAAAATACCCTGATTTTATAGAAGAGCCTTCTTATTATATCACGTCAACAGCCTTCTCCGCTAGACAGTTGCTGCTTTTGGCAGCTTTAGTATTCCACGAAGGACTGCACATTAGCACTATATTTAAAAAAGGTAAAAGGCAAGTCAAAGTCAAATTTAAAACATTGGCCTCGGGACAGTGAGTCACAACAGTAGGCAGCCTTCTCTACCTACTGTTGTGACTCACTGTCCCTAACACCAGCATTTACTCTGGTGTTAAGAAACATTTTACTTTAGGATTTGGATTTTGCATTTTATAAGGCACTCATTTTATTTAGAAAATAAATGTAATCCCATCGTATCCTAATAGCATGATGCACTTTTTTTTTATTGTTAAAACTATTATTAAAAATACTTTAAATATGCAATTCATTCATACAGTGAATTGAATACACTTCTTATCTTGCAAACCACAATTTAGAAATGAGAAAGAAGAGTGCCAGAGTAAATGCTGGTGTTAAGAAACATTTTACTTTAGGATTTGGATTTTGCATTTTATAAGGCACTCATTTTATTTAGAAAATAAATGTAATCCCATCGTATCCTAATAGCATGATGCACTTTTTTTATTGTTAAAACTATTATTAAAAATACTTTAAATATGCAATTCATTCATACAGTGAATTGAATACACTTCTTATATAATGAACATATTTTTAATTTGTAAATTAAATATGTCCTGTTGTCATATTGAAGAGAAAACCTTATGAAAAGAAAACCATATTAAATAGTTTGGCATAATCTTGTATTATTTCTTGGGGAAAAAAACTGCTTGGCTATTTATTAATATTTGAATGTTTGTCTGCCAAGTGTAAACAAAACCGGAAGTGATATGAGAGTGAGCACCCCTGCTTACTCGTGACTGTGTAAAAAATATCAGATAATTTGAGCTTTTATACTTAAGTACATTATACTTAATATTTATGACATAAAGATAAAAAGTCTTTTTACATTAAAAAATATGAGTTAATTATAATAATTAAGGTATGTAAATCCACATATTCAAGGTGTAAGAAAAATTTTACCATGTTTACACCACATGATATTTAAGTGATTTAGTTTAAACTTTTGGTTTAAAAGGCCAAAAAAAAAGGCTTTTCCTTCCTTTATCTTGGACACTCTTAATTTGTCTGAAATGTTCAGAGGATGATATATTTATGTAATCGTTATAAGCAGAAGGTTGAGGCAAATTGTCTTTTTTTTTTTTACATTTTTTCCTCTGCCATTTCAGTTGCTCCAGTGCTGGACTTGACCAAACAGTTCACACACCCGGAAACTGCTCCTCCTAATCTTATTAAGTTGGTCGAAGCAATTGAGCGGACAGGTAATACTTTTGTGTCATTGAATGTCATGTAAAGGGCTTTTTTGTTTGTGGTTTGTTCGTTAGAGAACCTGACACATGATACGGAGTGAGCAGGAATCCCTGCAGAGCGCCTCCAGCCACAAGAAAGAACGAAAATAAAAACACATTGGATTTCTACTTGTTTTAATAGATATTTATTTTTTAAATATATATTTCCACATTGAAAATAATAAATGAAATGTGTGAAATGTTTCTTATTACACCATATGGCAGTTATTAACATCCAGATTTCCTCTTTCACTGTGAGCCGTCCCTCTCTTTCTCCCCTGAGCGGCGCTCGGACTGTCTGGCTTGACTGAAGCCGTCTTCTCACTTCTTCACAGACTAAAGCAGAGCTCAGGGATTCAGCTGGGCTGTTTTCCCAGTTCTCCCGATAGCGTGACTGGATATATTTATATCTCCGGGCTTTTACATTTAATGTTTAGATATAACTGCTCCTCTAATCCAAGCTGGCATGGAAGATCTATTTTTGAGAGATGAGTTAACGCCTCGATTTTCTGCTAGGTCTGGACTCTAGGACACTTTACAGGACATCCACTGCTTCAGCTTCTGACAGACAGAGCCTCGCTGGTGAGTTTAATCGCAGTTCTCATCCTTTGCCACTTAGGTATGCACTTCCTGTGCAGTTATTCAGTTTCTGGGCTTAAGGATTTTGATTGCTTTAATGTTATGTCTTATTCTTAGTAGCTATAAGTCTTTCTGTTCTGCTCATTTGTGACCCTGGACCACAAAACCAATCATAAGTAGCACGTTATATTTGTAGCAGTAGCCAACAATACACCATATGGGTCAAAATTATTATTTTTCTTTTATGCCAAAAATCATTAGGATATTAAGTAAAGATCATGTTCCATTAAGATAATTTGTCAATTTCCTACCATAAATATATAAAAACTTAATTCTTGATTAGTAATATGCATTGCTAAGAACTTCATTTGGGCAACTTTAAAAGCGATTTTCTCAATACTTTGATTCCAGATATTTAAATAGTTGAAACTAGTGAAAAATGTCTTCAAAGGGAACTGTCTTTTTGTCAAAATGAAGGAAAAAAAATATTAAAAGAATGGAATTCATGAAATAAATTTGTTTGATAATTCAAATAGTATCTCGGCCAAATATGGTCCTATTTTAACAAACCATACATCAATGGAAAGCTTATTTATCAATTTTAAAAAATGGACTGGTTTTGTGGTCCAGGGTCACATTTTAGATATCAGCTTGTGTACAATGTTTAAAACTTTTATTATCCATCTGTCTGACTGTCTATCTATGTAGAAAGTAATACATTTATTTAAAATATATTTATATTAAGTAATAATTATTTATAGTTCATGCTTAATACATATTATTTATAATACAAAATATAAGCATCATTATTTAAATAATCCTAAAGAGTAAATAAGTGTAATTATTTTTCTATCTCTGTTTATCAATCTATATATCAAGAAAGGAATAAATAAATACATGTCTTTATTAAAAAAGTATATATTTTATTGTAATTTGTTTTCATAATACAAAATGTAATCATTATTGTAATGATTTGAGATATATCTGTCTATCAAGCTATATATCAAGAAAGTAATACATATTTTAAGTTATATTTATTGGATCATAATAAATATAAGCATTATTTTTAAATTATTCTAAATGGTAAATAAGTGTCTGTCTGTAAGTGTCTGTCTGTCTGTTTGTCTGTCTGTCTGTCTCTGTCTGTCTGTCTGTCTGTCTATCTATTGTTCATTTTACATAAAGTTTTTGTAATCATTTACATGTGTATATATACAATATTTTAAAGCATTCCTTCCAGGTTTAAATTAGATTCTCAAAGTCTCAGACTTTTGGTTTTCACTGTGTATATACCTTAAAAAAAACATTGTGATAACTAGGAGTGGTACAAAGTAAACTGTTGTTAAGGGTTAGATGATGTTTACCGGCTTTGCTATTTGGTTCCCATAAGTTCAACATATTTATGTCACTCTGTTTAAAAGGGATGTATCGGATTAGATCTAATGTGTATCTTGCCGTGACTGGTCATTTATAAAGCATGCATCATGATGAGCCCGGTCATTTGTCCCTGTGCAGAGCTGCAGGAGTTGGATGTGGGACAGTGGGACATTCATGCCCTCTCGGAGGCTCTCATTCGGTACCTGCAGGAACTTCCTGCCCCCATCATCCCTCCCTCTGTTTATACAGACCTTCAGGCAGCAGTGAAGCTAGAATCGGGTATGTGCCACTTTTCACTCATCCGTGCAGGCCGAAAGAGCACCGTGTAACGAAAGTAACAGAACTCAGCGAGCAAACAGCTCCGAGTGTCTGCCATGCCTGATGACCCACGCGCTCACGCTGATGTAACTCATGAATAGACGTCCCGTCCGAGAGGAGACGAGAGCAGCTGCTGCAGGTGCTGGAGAAGCCTGAAGTTCCACTGCAGAACCTCCTGACGCTGCATTATTTGCTCAGACACCTGGAGAAGGTCTGCCAGCGCGCCGAGCAGAACGGCCTCGACATTCACACCCTCTGCCAAATCTTTGGCCCTCTGCTGATCAGGGGCCCTGTGAGCGGGTGAGCGTGAGGTTTCTTTTCTTGTATTTCTATTGGCTGGAGACTAATTCTGGAAATCCGTTGCTGAAAAATAAACCATCATCATTTCTATGTGTTTGATTTACAGGTCAGAGGAAGATGAGGGGTTTCCTGCGGTTGCAGTTGAGAGACTTCTTTTGGAGAGAATTTGGGAACAAGAGCCAACTCCTCCTGGTGAGTCACCTGTCATTTTTGCCATTGTGTATAATAGCTATGCTTTTTTTATTCACAGATTAAACTGTTGTCAGGGGGGATTTATTATGTGTTTTCAAACCTTTTGGTGCAAACATGATCTGGTACCTTTGTGAGAGACCCCTGTCTTAAAATAGAAATGCAGTGCTATGTTTTAATCTATAAAGTATTTCCGGAGTTAAAGGGTTAGTTCACCCAAAAATGAAAATTCTGTCATTAATTACTCTCTCATGTCGTTTCAAACCCGTAAGACCTTCGTTCATCTTCGGAACACAAATTAAGATATTTTTGATGGAATCTGAGAGCTGTCTGACCCTCCCATAGACAGCAACACAACTGAAATGGTCCCAAGGAGATCTGTAAAATAATCCATGTGACATCAGGGCATCAACCGTAATTTTACGAAGCTACAAGAATACTTTTTGTGTGCAAAAGAAAAAAATTACGACTTTATTCAACAATTCGGCTCCTCCGCATCACCCTACCGCCATTTTGGAGAGAATAAGCTGGACGTAAACAGGGTATGCTTTTCTGTGTCAGCTGCGTCACGCCGGATCTGTTTCCTACGCTGTTTTCGTTCAGATCAAATCACAACAACGTAGGAAACAGATCCGGCGTGACGCAGCTGACACAGAAAAGCATACACTGTTTACGTCCAGCTGATACTCTCCAAAATGGCGGTAGGGTGATGCGGAGGAGACGAATTGTTGAATAAAGTAGTTTTTTTTCATTTTTGGGTGAACTATCCCTTTAAATAATTGGCTTCAAAGACAAAGCTAATGATTAAGGTATTATCTGGAAAATTTACTTAATTATTTACTAAGTTGACAATGTACCTTTTTTCACTCGTTTTAGTATCGTCTGTAATCCTAAAGAGAAACATTTTCAATTAAATAAATTTGTATAATGCTTTTCACAGTATATATTGTTTGTCGAAGTTAAAAGCAACTGTGGTCAGGAAACCGCTTCGGTTACACTTCAGTAAACAATTTTATTTCCATTTTTCCTTCTTTATGTAGCTGCATATTTTAAACATTTATTTATTTTGCAGTACGTCCTGCTTTCATTATAAGTGTATTTACAGGAAACATGCCTATTTGTTACCCTAAGGAATGTATTAAATTATTGTGGTAATCGGCAACAAGCATGCTGATGCATTATGTAGACATAAAATGGAAAAACCCAGAATATTCAGCTCTAAACTTTTATGTAAATGTGTGTATACTATCAGTGAAACCTGTGGGGTTTGTAAGACTTTAAGTACTTAATACTTTCATTCAGCAAGGATGCATCACTAAGTTAATCAAAAGTGACCAAATATAATGTTACAAGGATTTATAATATAACAAAAGATATATAATCCTAAACATAAAATACCTCCACAGAAATGTTAAATATTTCTTGAGAAACAAATCAGCAAATTCAAATGATTTCTGAAGGATGATCTGACACAGAAGACTGGAGTAATGATGCTGAAAATGCAGTAAACACATTTTAAAGTATATTAAACTTATTTTAGGTTGTAATAGTATTTCACACTGTTTTTGTTAATGAATATGATAAACACAGCCTTGTTGAGCATAAAAGTTGTATTTCAATAACAAAACCTTTTTGACCCCTTAAAAAATTGCAGTATGGATTTGCAGTAAAAAAAAAATTATATCAAAAAAGCTTCAGCTTCCCTGTAGTGTAGACTTAAACTCTACTACAGAAGAGAAAACCTCATCTCGTTGTTTAATATCTAGGCTAGTAAGCAAAAGGTTGCAGGGCTGATCCCGGAGCGATCACCATTACGCCCTTGAGCAAGACAGGTGGCTCCAGAGACTGTGCCTGTAATATAACCTTGCACGTTTCCATGTTGACGATGTATGAAAGTCGTTAAAGCAAATGTTGGCCCCAGTCATGTGGGAATAAATAAAAATTCATTTATTTTAATCGTAAATATTTGTATCTTATTTGCCTTGTTTATCCAGCTCTCCCTCCTAAACCGCCCAAAGCCAAAGCCATGGCCTCATCTGTGACCAATGGAAACAACAGCTTACTGAGTGAAGCTGAATGGTACTGGGGAGACATTTCTAGGTAAATCACTGACATAATTACCTATACGGCTGTAATCAAGATAATCATGCATTTCTGCACATGAGGAATCTCTGTTTGGTGCCCATGGTTTTAGAGAGGAGGTGAATGAGAAGATGAGAGACACTCCTGATGGTACGTTCCTGGTGCGGGATGCATCAAGCAAAGTGCAGGGAGAGTATACCTTGACCCTCAGGTGAGCGCCGCCTCAGACCAAACAGTGGTTCTCGTCATGTCTAATATGAGATGGATACTTTGCGTAGGTGTGCTGGTGTATTCGTTTGATATGCACCATTACCAAGAGGAATTTCTAACAGAGACAAGACACGATCAAAGCCTTGTTATGTTTATTCCAGGAAAGGAGGCAATAACAAACTGATCAAGGTTTTTCACCGTGGGGTGAAGTATGGCTTCTCGGAGCCTCTTACTTTTCTCTCTGTGGTGGAGCTCATCAACCACTACCGGCATGAGTCACTGACCCAGTACAACGCCAAGCTGGACACTCGCCTGCTCTTCCCCGTGTCTAAAGATCAGCAGGTGCGATGTCTCCACTCTTCAAAATGCTCAAACTGATGGCGTCTTTTCCCTGAAGTGGTAGTTCATGAAAAAATGAAATATTTGTCTTTATTTACTCACCCTCATGACATACCAAACCGATTTTAAAGGGGTCATATGATGTTGCTAAAAAGAACATTATTTTGTGTATTTGGTGTAATGAAATGTGTTTGTGGCGTAAGGTTAAAAAAACACATTATTTTCCACATACTGTACATGATTGTTTCTCCTCTATGCCCTGCCTTTCTGAAACGCATCGATTTTTACAAAGCTCATCGGTCTGAAAAGCGAGGTGTGTTCTGATTGGCCAGCTATCCAGTGCGTTGTGATAGGCCGAATACCTCAAGTGTATGACGGAAATTTTACGCCCCTTGCCATACTGTGATGCCGTGTCCCGAGACAAAAACATTAAAACCCATTATAAACGAGGCATTTGTTGCATCCAGTGGGGACATAATTACGGATTATAATGACTTCTACTGTCTTTTTACGTGTTGCATCGCGCCGCATAAACATAAAACCATGTCTGCATTTGTGATTGGAGAAATGACAAACAACAAGTGCTACTCTACACTGCTCAAAACTCGCGTTTGAATCGTCAGTGACATATTTAAAACAAAATTTAAATATGAAAACGTACTTACAGTCTGTGAGTCAGAACAGCCGGCATTGTAGGCTACTCTGCAGGATCAGGAAACAGTCCTCCATAAAATGTGCTGCACACATCTGAATATTTGGGTTGAACTGTTCTGGAACAGTGTTGTAAATACAACTTAACCACTGATTTCTAGTTGTGTCCTCTTTTGGAAGGCCAAACAAAGTAGTTTCGCTTTCGCAACGAGAAACACAGCGTCGTCACAATATAGCGGTGGCAGCAACAATAAAGTTACGCCTTCTTTCTTTGCGTGAACATTTGGGCGGCGTTATGCAAATCTTCCCACATCGTGACGTTGACATGTGGTGGTGTGTTTGAACGAGACGTTTTAGGAGGGCGTGGACCAGTCTTAACTTTTATAAAGAATATCTCTTTGGGTTTGAGACTTTAGTCTTTGCAACTTTAGGGATCTTATCTATTCACGAACCGCTTGTAACACTCCAAAGAGAAAGGAAAACTTTAAATCGCATCAATAGTGATCACAGACTTTTAAAGGTGCCATAGAATGCATTAATACAATATTTTAAATTGTTCTCTGATATCTACATAGAAGGTATGTGGCTTAGGTAAGGGCAAAAAAATCTCCAGAAACGGTTTTATATGTCCATTTACAACCCTAGGATTTGTCTCTAGAATGAAATGGTCTGGTATTACCTTATTTGGAAGGGTTATGAATAATAATGTTGAGCTCTGCTCTGATTGGCTGTTTCACAGTGCGGCTCAATGTTGAGCTCTGATCTGATTGGCTGTTTCACAGTGTGGCTCAATGTTGAGCTCTGCTCTAATTGGCTGTTTCACAGTGCGGCTCATTTCAGTAGCTCACACAGCAGGAAGGAAACAGGGAAAATATATATTTCAATACTTTCTCTCGCAGCTATATAATTCTTAATTATATAATAGTTGGGTAAATGTACTGTATATAAAATGCAGACATCAGACAGCCGCTATTTATATACGGGGCCTTGAAACTGCTTTCGAATACACGATTGCGTTTTACTTTCACTTTCGAGATTTGTGATTGCACATGCTGTGTAAACTACAGCGGCAGTACTTACCTCACATTTTACAAGATCCAGATGCTTGTCAGTGGTTTCATCGTCCTCAGTCATCTCTCCTTACTCTGTTTATGTGGTAAGTGAAATCTTATGTACTGTAATGTAACCTGCTAGCAAGCAGCTAACCATGTCCCTTTAGTGGCTCACGTTATTTTATTAGAATGCGTTATTTGCTTTCCGTGCCTTTCTGAATACAGACACCAACCCATCCCTGCACTTCACATCCCTTGCACAGCCTGTAACATAACATTTATTTCCATGATCTGCCATTTTCGCTATATTCGCTATTGTGTTCCTTCACAATACCTGCAGAACTTCTGATGATTTGGCTGTGCAGGTCCGGCTGGCATAGAACATGGGTGGGTATATGCAAGTGTTGGGGGCGTACATATTAGTGAATCCGACTGTAACATTACAGTCGGTGTTATGTTCTGATTCGCCTATTTTTCAGTGGTCTTTTGCATGTACGAGGAGGAAACAATGGTGTTTGAGGCTCACGGTATGTCAATTCCATGTACAGAACTGTTATTATTCAACTATGCCAAGGTAAAGGGTTTCCATTCTATGGCACCTTTAATGTAAAAAAAAATTCACCAAATGTCTCTCAAATGACTCCATTCTCATTCCCTTCATCTAGCTGATTTTGAACCCAATGATGTGTCTAATGTAAATTCCCCTTAAATGGATAGTTCACCCGAAAAAAGAATTGTTAATTTACTCACCCTCGGGTAAGATTTTTAGCTAAAACCATGGTCCTTGGTGATTCATAAAATGCAAGTCAACGGCTACCAATTGAGAGTAAAACGAAGTGAAATGTTCAGTCTGTGTAAGAAACTAAACATTACAGTGTGAGGGAGAAGCCATTGCCTTCACGAACAAATCTTTCATTTGAACTGGCTCTTTTTAGTGAACTGGATGAACCAGGTCACCAAATCAGAGTAAACATCAACAAATACCTACCGTCTTTCAATGTCCTAAAAGCACAAACGTAAAAAAAATTTATTAAAGGGATAGTTCATTGTGTCATTAATTACTCGCCCTCATGTCGTACCAAACATATCAAGATATGTTTTGATGAAATCCGAGAGCTTTCTGACCCTGCATAGACAGCAACGCAACTGACACTTTCAAGGCCCAGAAAGGTAGTAAAGACATTGTTAAAATAGTCCATGTGACTTCAGTTGTTTAACTGTGATGTTATGAAGCTACGAGAATAATTTGTGCACAAAGAAAACAAAAATAACGACTTCAACTCTACTTCGCCACGCATGTGTATATCAATAGTCAGTTTAAAATATATAGTTTTTTACTATATAGTTAGCTTATCTCAAATTAACTTGAGGATTAGTAAATAATGAATTTTCATTTTGAGGTGAATAATGCTTGTAAACACACCTTCTTGTGCTCTGCAGGATCAGGTAGTGAAAGAGGACAGTATCGAGGCGGTAGGAGAGCAGCTGAAGGTTTATCACGAGCAGTATCAGGAGAAGAGTCGTGAATATGATGTACTGTATGAAGAATACACACACACATCACAAGTAGGCTGCATTTCATCTCTCCTTCAAATGCATTGGGATCTAATTAACAGAGTCCCTAACAGAGATGTTCTGTACGATCTCTCTCAGGAGCTCCAGATGAAACGAACCGCCATAGAGGCCTTTAATGAGACCATCAAGATCTTTGAGGAGCAGTGCGAGACCCAGGAGCGCTTCAGCAGAGAAAGCATTGAGAAGTTTCGCAGAGAAGGCAACGACAAAGAGATTGAGAGGTACTCTTGTTTTTCTTTACACATCAGAGTCCTATAATGATACAGATGCTTGTAATTCCTTGGTGTTAATTTGAATTCGAGTCGTGTTTTGGCTTATATATAAGTGGGAAACTTTTTTTTTTACTGTCTATTCAGAATTCAGAGCAACTCTGAGAAGCTGAAATCCAGAGTGACAGAGATTCATGACAGCAAGAGGAAGTTGGAACTGGACTTGAAGCAACAAGCTACAGAAAATCGAGAGATAGACAAGAGGATGAACAGCTTGAAACCAGACCTCATACAGCTGAGGAAGCTACGGGACCAATATCTTGTGTAAGAACACCTCCCATATATAGAAACAATAATATTTCATATTTTAATGTGTTAGCAATTCACTTTATAATGTAACAATTTTTATGAACATTTTCTGTTTTCATGTGTTTTATAATATAAACAATAATATTTTAATGTGTTACCGATTCAATTTATAATGTAACAATTTTTATTATTTTTCAGTTTTAATGTGTATTATAATATAATTTATTCCTGTAATGGCGAAGCTGAATTTTTAGTGGCCATTATTCCAGTCTTCAGTGTCACTTGATCCTTCAGAAATCATCTAATATGCCAATTTGGTGCACAAGAAGCATTTCTTATTATCAGTGTTGAAAACCGTTGTGCTGCTTAATATTTTTGTAGAATCCATGATGCATTTTTCAGGATTTGTTGATGAATGAGAAGTTCAATTGACCAACATTTATTTGAAAGAGTACAAGAAAGGCATTTATGTTACAAAACATTTCTGTGACATTTGATCTATTTAATGCATCCTTGATGACTAAAAATTTGACCCCCAATTTCTGACCGGTAGTATAGATTCATCAGACTGATTATAAACTTGTGAGTTTGTAAGTTTGTTTGAATGATTAATTCAAAGACCTGGCTCGTACGAGTTACTTGTTTGTGATTTGGACTATGCTAGTCAAGTTTTCTCACGCTTAAGTGAAGGCACTAAAGACAAAGCTCTATAAAAAACATATTGTCATGACATTGTTTTGCAGTGTACAGGCATTACTGCAAGCTGACAATATAATTTCTTTTGTTGTGATTTGGGCTGCCACTAATGACTGTTTTTTATTTCGATTAATCTGTCGACTAATTTATGGATTAATCTAAACGATTAATTTCCCACAAAAAAAACAACAATTTTACTTAAGAATATTTTATTAACCTATATTTCATTAAACCAAATGAAATCCAAAAGTAAAGTGCAACATAAAGTGCAAGAAGCAAGTGTCCATCTCATAGGCCAAATCACTGAAATCAAAGTTCAGTATTATAGTGTAAGAATGACAACATATCCACGTGTTCTAGTCTACTAATAATAAAATTATAATCAAAAAATACTTTTTAAAGGAGTATTTACTAGAAAAATTATTTACTAGAATTTATTTAGGAGAAAAATGTAAATGTGCAGTATTTCTGAAAAAAAAAAAATATATACACTTTTTTTTTTTTTATAAAATCAATTAATTGGAGATGCTTTTGATTATTAAAATGTAATGGAACCATTAAAATGGAATCCAGAAAATATTGGAAAACAGAATTTGGTAAAGATAAAACTGTAAAACTCAATTAATTAGACAGGCTTTTTGATTAATACAGTTTAATTTAACCATTAAAACAGAGTATAGAAAAAGGAAAATGGAAAAAAATGAATTTGGAAATAAAACTGATTTCATAGTGCCCTATAATTAATTTTTTTGTGGTAATAAAAATAGATATAAGTTAACAATAGCCTTTAAAATGACTTAAAATACATATATAATAGCAATGAGGCAATAATAATTAGTTCAAATAAAGTATCAAAAGCAAGAAATCATATGGTTTTATTGAACAAAATTGCTAAAATGCATAATGAATTATAAACAATAGAGCTAATGTACATTAGGCATTACAACAAAGGCCTGCAGGGGGCGCCAACGACCTGACGATTGTTTTTACACATTACTGTGCGATCTAATCCTTGTTTAATATTGACCAAGCACTATTTCATTCAAATGTCCACTTAATCTTTAATATTTGGCCATTTCTTTTGGACAGAAATGCTATAGCCACTGTAATTAAAAGAATATGTGGACATCAAAACATGTAAACTCAGAGTGAGGGTTTGAGCTTTTATTTTGAAACCGCGATGTATTCTCCTGTGTGTGTTTGCGTAGATTTATACATGATTTACCTTACAAATCTGATGAAATGGCGCATGTTGCGTTCCCAAATGAACGTTAATGAACGTTATAATAAACTCAAACTCACAACAACATGCAGAGATGGAGTTTGAGACACTCCACACATGTAAATGATAACAGTTCCTGTGGAACTACTGTGAACGGAGCCGCCGTGTGACGCATGTACTTAACCTACACGCATGTAAATAATTAAAGC